CTCTCTCTCTCTCTCTCTCTCTCTTTTTCTCCGCTCGATGGCTCATACTGCGTAAAAGGTAAAAAATAGCGTCCATTACATCTTCGAGACGGGCAGACGCGGAAAAGAAGGGTGAGGGAGGAGAGAAATTCTCTCTCGTCGCGCTGTGAACGCGACGCGAAACTGCATTCCGACCGCAGCTTCCCCGCTTCGTGCCCCGCGAGCGACTTGAAACGCGGTCTGTTAATTTTCACGGCGTATTGTGGACCGTGCAATCACAATGAAATAACGGCAAGCTCACCCTCTCTTCCTCTCTCTTCCTTCTTCCTTCCCCTCTCTCTCCCTTCCTCCTTTTCTCCCTTCCTCTCTCTCTTTCTGCTCCTCACTCTCGTCCGCCTAGACGTCTTTCCACAGCAGATGTAATTACTTTTGTCACGCGGTCGTATTAGCAGATTCACGAATTAACATTAAGCGGGACACGCCGGACGCGAGTGCACGCTTAACAGCGAAAAAACAATGAGCGCGCCGCCAGGCAATCTAACTTCGCCACTTAACTCGTTCGCGATTTATGCGGTTGTTCGCGCGCTCCGCTGGCGCATTCGCGCGTAATTACGCCGTTGCGCATATTCCCAGCCGCGGAACAGGATTAATAAAATGTCGGCGGATTCGCGGGACGCGAAGTACGTATCCTCCTGCCTCTCTGACGCATCTTTCGCGTCGTTCAACGCGCCCCGTCGGCGCGATTTGAACGTGAGGCGACGTCGCGGCACTTCCGGCAAGCGAGCTCTCGCAAGCTCCAGCTTGAGGGGGCCTGAGCGTCGTCCGAGCGGTCGTGATCGCCGATAACACGAATTTTCACCGGGCAGTTAATTCCAGTTAAACCTAATTGGAATTAACTACCTAATTAAACCTACGAGCGACAGTTTATACGACACCGCGGCACATATTGTATTGTTATTCGCACATAAAAGGATTTAATTTATAATCGACCGTTCAATTCGCAGTCGGATTAGTGGGAAGGCGCTTGCAGAGCGCGTCGCGCACAAAATCGTGAGGGGTGCAATTCGCGACAATCGTCTTGCGACTAATGTCCGTTTCTGCCAACATTGCTTAATTTAACTGGCTGATTGTTCCAACAAAATTGACCACTCGCATTTCTCGTTAGTCAGAATGGACAGATGCGATTGGTCAATTTCGTTGGACTTAACCAGCCGGTTAAGTTAGCCAAAATTGGTAGAAACGAGCATAATTCATCGAGCCGTTCGTTAGTGAAGATCCGCGAGAAATCGACTCGCGATCGCGACCAACAAGCTTTCGATAAATTATCGCCCAGAGCAAGGTTCGCGCAGGTGGTGGCAAATGATCACGGGGAATGCCGCGCGTCGCGTTTTCCCATTGATCGCGCGGCATTTCGCGGATATCATTCGGGGAGGGACGTTTTATTCGGCTTCCTCGCTTGTTGCCACGGGGCAGGTCCTTTCGGAGGTCGACCTCCATCTCGCCGTTGCCGGAAATTCATCTCGTGCGATCGGCGATGCAACATTACCGGAGGTAATCTTGCCTCCCCAGCGTCGCGTGTCGCGGCGAAAATTGACAAGGGATCAGCGAGAGGCTTCGTGGTGCACGCGCGCGCGCGCGCGCGCGCACATCAGCGCGACACAAGTTGATGGAGAAATTCCCCCGTGTTGTCGGGCTTATCCCACTCGCAGCTGAAGGATAAGAGGCTCGCCAGGTGTCGCGGGAAATTCCTAACAGCGCTCCTAAAGTGCCCGTCACACTCGCACACGTACGCACACTCGATCCGAATTATTCAATGCGCTCCCGCCGCTCTCGATCGGACTCGGGAGAGAGAGCTGTTCGTTTCGAAATTGCGTTTTTCCCGTATTTGCAAATGAATTATAATTGACAATTCGCCATTCGGCCGTGCTCGCTCATGCATCCGAAAGAGCGGCCAAGTTCAGCCGCGCATACATTTTCCGTCGCTTTTTACATTATTTTTACATTATTTTTACGCAAAATTTTAGCTATTCGTGAGTGGATTAACGATACGTAAGTATCAGGACGATGCGCGCCTCACCATTCGGGAGGAAATGGCCCAAAAGGATACGCATTGTGACAACCCAGACAACATAATGTCTAAAATCGGGACATAAGACGCCTTAAAGACATTTATACGTAAATCGTCTGAAAGACATCTTAAGTATGATATTTAAGACGTCTTATGTCCCGATTTTAGACATTATGTTGTTTGGGAGTTGAATTCATCTTAAAATATGAATTCTCTACAATATTATTTAAAAAAGTTTATATCATTTAAAAATTCAAGATAACCTTGATTTTTAATGAAAAAAATTTTTTTACCTCTTGTTTTTGCGAGTTGTAGCCTGCAGTTGAAAATTTATCTTGCAACCTTTTCCTTAAAGCGGGGTTTACAATGAGAACTTAAGCTTTAAGCCTGAAACCGTAAGAAATCGACCAATCACAGTCGAGAATTTTCCTTATATTTCATGGTGATTGGTCAATTTCTTACGGCTTCAGGCTTACCCCTTGTCCACAACCTTGCTTTAATTTTTAAGCCGTAATAAATTGACCAACCACAGTCGATTATTTTAAAAATAATCAACTGTGGTTTGTCAATTTCTCACGGCCAAACAAGGTTGTGAACAAGGGGTTAAAGCTTAAGTTTTAAATTCTCACTGTAGACCCCGCTTAATCCGTCGCAAGTGTCTAAAAAATCGTGCGTGGACCGCCGATACACCCTATGTATGGGTGTAGGGCTTTATGGGGGCTCGGCTGTTCTCTTTGGCCGCGTTTTCTACGTGGTCCCGGTTGTCGCAGCCTACGTTGTTGATGTAGCCGCGCGTCGGGCTCGCCTGGACGTTGACGCTTCGGCGAAAATTCGAATGCAAATTTAAAGGTGATGACCCGTAAATATTGCAGACGCGTCGCATCGCGCCGGGAACACATCCGCTATATGCCGAATGAAAAATTACCACAGCCCGAGCACGCGTACATACACACGTACACACACTTACGCACACATACGTGTACACGTACGCGGCGTGCCTACGGCGTTTTCCTCCACCTGCCTAAATTCACCCATTTATTCACGCGGCGCCGATATAATGTGTCACGCATCGCGCTACTTTTTTTCATCGAGGCGACGCGGAAATAAGCGTGAAATATTGAAGCCTCCTGATCGCCGATTTGAACGACGGCCGCTTTTAGAGAGACGGCGACACGCCGGGGGACTACTTCGCTCTGTCAACAGCATGAATATGTAGATGCGCGTAAATTTGACGGCGTACACGCGGATTAACCCGGCGCATTCTCCACGCATTCGCATTAATCAGAGGCGGGGGCAGGAGGGGAGGAGAGACGATAGGGCGGAGGGTGGAGGGCGGCGAGAGATATCGCCGTGAATCAAAAAGGCTTGGCTCAACCTTGACGGTCGCGAGTGGAATATTACACGCCGTTTAGCGCGGCGTGCGGTAGCATTTAATTAAACTTTCGCCCGTCGAAATCACCACTCTCTCTTCCCCCGTTCCCCGTTCAACCGCTGTATAGCGCAATACAGGAGGGGGAGGGAGTACGAACGAATTGCTCGCTATCGCCTACGGCGGGGGCTTAGTCGTCCGCTTTAATTGCTTCCGCGCGCCGGCAACAGTCTTCTTTTCTCCCGAGCCGCCCGTCTCCGCTTCCGTTTCTTTGTGTGCTTCCGCTAAACTGGAGCACGGGAGGAACAACCGATTTATATGAATGGTATTTTCTTGAAAGTAATGTCGACACGAAACAAACGAATGTACTTCGCCGTGCGTTAAAATATGCCGCAATTACGGCGCAGGATGCGCGCGTCCTCGTGCACAAAAGAAGAGGAGAGAAAAATACATTTGTGTCGCACGGATCTCCCCTTCCCTTTCTATCTATCTATCTATCTGTTTCTCTTTCTTCTTCTCTTCATTTGCACTTAATTAACTGTAATTCCCTGTATCTCGGTAATTTGAGTATTCATTGTTAATCCGTTTCTAATTGAGTTCTTTGTATTTTATTTTATGTAATTATAATTTTTATAATTTTTGCTTGAGAGGACTTATCCCGCAGCATCTAATAAAAAACGCTTCTCTCTCTCTCAGTCTCTTTTTCTTTATTTACACTCAATTAATTACTAGCAGTGATTCTCTGTACCAGTAATTTGATTATTCGTTATTAATTCCTTTCTATATAATTGTCCCTCGCTGTATATTTTATGCAATTATAATTTATATAATTTTTGTTTTTGCGCACTTGAGAGGATTTATCTTGGAGCGTCTAATAAAAGATGATTCTCTCTCCTCTCCTTCTCTCGGAGAAGTACGAGTCTCCGGGAGTCTGCAACTCTCTCGAGATGGCTCGGTTTCACTCCGTTCATCATTGCTTGTTATTAAATAGACGTCAGGACAGGCTGTGACGGTGCAGTTAATGAAGCGGATACATTTATATCTGTTAAACTAATTATCGATTTAATTAACGAGGTCAGACCCCAAGGCCCAGTGATCTTCGTGGGAGGGGATTTCTCTCTCTCTCTCTCTCTTCATTTAAATATAAATTATTATGTCGAGCATAAACCTGACTATACGATTCCGCGGTGTAATCCCTCCTGCTCCTCAAGATGTCTCTCTTCAGCTCTTACACAAGCACTTAGCTGTACATTGGTGTACGTTAACGGTTTCGGATGCAGCGGTAACAACGGGGCGAGAGTCGATTATCGCCGGATTATACCAACTGCCACTGATATCGCCTAGATTAGCCGAAAATGCTTCCCCCGATGGGCTTTCTTCGACGAGGAGGACGGAGGAGAACGCTCGCAAGTCTCGCTCTCCTCCTCCGAGCTGGAAGTTTCCGCGAAAGTTTCCGAGTATAATCCGCCGTGAAAGTTTTCCGTGAAAGGAGATAGACATCCTTTCGTTAGAGCGCGCGAATTCATATTACTGTTTGAGCGAGAGCGGGAAAAAATCGCAAGTTTGTCAGGAAAGGGAGAGCGAGAGGAAGGGCGAGGTGGAGGGAGAAAGGAAGGAGGGAAAGATGGATTCTGAAACGGAGAGCACGGTGTATTTGCTATTGAGATTATTTCCCGGCATAACTCGCAACGCCGTTCGCGGAAGGGCCGTCTGCCGTTCGCGCGCGAATGGTACTCTCTTCCCGTTGCGTTCTCAAACGTCATAAAAGTTTAAAGGACGTCTTAAAGGCGCCTTAAAGGAGCATCCGAAGGATTAAGGTATCCTTCACTCACCCTGCAAAAATTCTTTCCGCCTCTCCGCGTCGCGCTTTTCTCTCGCCCCCGTTTCCATTTCCTCACACCGACCAGACGATTTTATCGCCATTCGCGCGCATTAAAGAATTTCCATATCGTGAGGCGAGCGTTCGACGGACAGACGGACGAGATGACGGCTGCGACGCCGATCGACCGATGACTTCCGGAGTTCCGGCGGGACTCCTCATTGTAGTAACACCGCCGAAGTTTCGTCCCACTCGCGGCGTCCGAGTGCGACTCCGGCAAACTCCCGGAATAGACGAACTTCCGCGTTTTCGCCTGGCTGCATCGCCCGCGGAGATGCAGTCGCGCCGGGCCCTGCGCGCGCTCCCTTTTCGCTCGTACAAGCCTTACAAATCCTCGGAACGCCGGTCGACCGTTCGATCGGCTTAAAAGATCGAATCCGCTCGTGTTTGCAGGACTCTGTCAGAATGCCGAGCCGCGGCGAGGTGCGCTCGAAGACCGGGATGTGGTCGAGAAGCCGGACCCCGCCGGCGACGACGACGAGTCCTATGCACCGGGAGTCCACGAGCAGCAGGGGTAAAGTATCGACGTTTCATCGAAATCCTGTCGACGGCAAGGTGAAGGTACCGACATGCCCGGGCACGTTCCTAATCCCCGACATTTTTATTGTTTCGGTCTTTAAGTAATACTGAAACTTTCAACGTACAACTGTGCACACAGGGTGTCCCAGAAGGCTCGACTCATACCTTAGAAGCGTACTGAGAAGAGCTATGTTCGCAAACAAGAAACAGATGCGCTTATCATGTTGTTCAGACCTGGCAAACCGATAACAATAAGTGAATGTTGGATAATTCGCGAGCAATTGCCTTCTGTGGTTTCGTGATTTCATCGCGGTGGACATTGATTCTTGCCAAAAAGTTGCTCTGTAGTGTTTTCTCCTACGATACGCTCCTGAAGTGTAGATCAAACTCTCTGGGACACCCTGTATATAGGATGTCCCAGTTCTCGCGCGACTTTAATTTATACTGACAGGTGACTCTGAGTAATTCGGAGTTAATTTTTCCTCGGCGTGAAAACGCCGAGGCGCCAATAGTTTCTGAGATACAAACGATCAAAACAGTGGAGCTTTTCGCGAAACTAAACTTCGAACGGCCAAAGGGACAACGAAATTGTTTTCCTCTTTGTCAAGCAGACTTTGCCTTAACAGAGTTTTATTCCAGGCATCGGAGGAAGACATGTTACGTCGAAAATTGAAAAGTTGCCATGAATAATAACCTGCCCAGATATTTTCGATCGGAAAGAATTAATTCGAAATTGCTTCAGACGTTCTGTCAGTATAAATTAAAGTCACGAGAACTGGAACACTCTGTATATTTTACTTCGAATGTTCTCATTTGGTTTTAGAAATCTAAATATCGAAGAGTCACGCCAATCATAAATGGGTAAAAAAATTGACGAACTGAAAAATTGTCGAATAAAAATTCAACGCATTTTCATTAGCTCAGAATACTTATCGAAATTTAATGTTTTTTCTTTCTTAATTAGAGTAGAAATCGTCCACAGGAATACGATTCTATTGATATTTGCACGACTCAATAACTGTGAACAAGTTTATAATAAAAATACAAAAGGTCCGCCTTTAAGGACGGTAACGTTTGAAAAGTTGATCGGGGTAAATTTCACTCAGCGCATCTCTCCTCTTTTCCTCAGAATAATTATCGAAACTTAATGGTTCTTCTTTTTTAATCTGAATAGAAATCGTCAAGGAATATGATTCCGTTAATATCTGTGAGATTCAATGAAGCTGAAAGAATTTAAAAAATTTATGAAAATACAAATACGATTCCGTTAATATCTGCACGACTCAATAATTCAAAGGCTGAAAATGTTTCTAGTTAAAATATAAAATATCTGCACTTTTAAGAACGGTAACGTTCGAAATGGTTGGTATAAGTGAATTTCACTCACGTTTAGGGTTCTAGAGTTAAAGACCAAAAACAGTAAGAATGTTCAGGATTAGGTTCGGTAATTGGTACCTTTTTACCTCACACGCGCGGCAGACATCTCTTACTTCCCGGGGCGATGGGTTCCGCACGGCGATGGGAAGTCGACGACGATGACGTACGACTAGCTTCTTTCCGCGAGCGGACACCCGACTGTGCAGTTCGATTCGATGACGTATGGCCTGCCGTCGTATCGTAATCCGTCGGTCGGATCGGCGGTCTCTAACAGAATTACATTGTAATTATGCGACGAGCTTAGTATCAAAGGCTCCTAATGGTAACGTCAAATTGTAACGTCAAAGGCGCGCGCGAACGCGTTTCAAAATAACATCGACTCGTCGTTAATTACGCGACGCTCGCGGAAAAAGAAACTCCCTCTGCATTGTTGATGAGATTATGTTATACGTGCACTTTGCGAAGCGTATTCGCGCTAATACCGTGTCCTTCATTGCCAACTGCAGCGCCCGACGTTTTTGAAATCTGATATTTCATCATTTTTCCTCAAGAGCAAGCTGTCGCAGAGCGTCGTTTTGCAGCGTAAAGGCCGGTTCATATATGTACAAATCAACTTCGAGTATGCAGTAAGGCTTCTCTCTCTCCCTCTCTCTCTCTCTCTCTCTCTCTCTCTCTCTCTCCCTCTCCCTCCCTTCCTCTCTCTCTCTCTCTCTAACTCTCTCTCTCTCCTAAGTTAAGTCCTCTACTAATTAAAGAAGTTTGCTGCGCATAATCGTGCGCCAATCTCTTTTAATTAATAACTAAAAGTTTACGTGATTATTTGCAAAATGGCATTTGCAAACTTTTCTCTTCAGTTTGACCTAATGTACAGGTGCAACACGACGGCCATCAACAGCTCATCCACCGTATGGCGCGTGATCATCATTCTTCTTTAGGGCGATGCCGGATACCGACGCCGTAATGCAGTTTTCTCTTTTCCTCTAATTTGGAAAATGCTTTTGCAGGCTGAAAGTACAAACGTTAATGAATAGCGGATGCTAAACAGTTGCGAAATAAAGAAAAAAATTTTTTATGATCAGTCGGTAAATAAAAAATTTTTTGTAGAAAATTTTGTGGCCTTCACCCCGTGAAAGCACTCCCAATTTGACGCATCCAATTAGAAGAAAAGAGAAAACTACGAAATTACGGTTTCCAGCATCGCCTTAAATTATACATAAATTCAAAATTTCATTTGGTTTGCGAAATGGTAGAGGAATTTCGCGTTCATTTTGATGAATTCTACTTGCACGTAACGGGTGTGTCATGAATTGTCAGACATCCCGTGTATACACACACACACACACACACACACACACACACACACACACATATATATATATATATGTATTTTTTTTCTCCAAAGTACTCTCCGACTCTTCAAATGCATTTTTAACAATGTTGAAACGGTCTGTTAGCTTTTTGGAATGTTAAAATTTCACGATGTGCGCTCTCGTGTGTCGGCTCTTTGATGATTTATTTAGCGGGACGAGCGGTACCTCTCTCGGCTTGAACTCTTGTTTTTCGCGAGGACGAACATGGTTAGAGCTATTGTTATCTATCAGCCGGGACACATCTTCCGAGGGAAAGGAGATGCTCGAGGAAAACAGAAGGACGTTCCCGTCGCGAGGCGCCAGTGAGGAGGAGCCGGAGGGCGCGGAAGCGGAAGCGAAGGCGGAGGAGGTCCACGGCGACGAACGACACGGGGACAAACATCTCTTTTTGCCGGGGAGCGGCGCGGGAGCTCCGCCACGGCGAAACGTAAATGTCAGTGAGTAGAGAGACGCGCTTCTACTACCTCTCTAATACAGGAAACATGCTCGGGCTAGTTAAATCGCGGGTGGAAACGAAAATACCTTCACTGTTTGAAATGACCTTACGACATATCCGACTCTATCCCCTCCTCCCTCCTCCTCTCTCTCTCTCTCTCTGTGAGTGAATTACGTTAGCTGGAAAATCTCTCACGTGGACTTTGCCGGACGTGTGTTATTTCGACAGATCGTGTATCCTTATTTAAATAGACACGGTGGCGCTGCCTACCGTACTTTAGGCTGCCGGCATTTTTCATTAAAAAAGTGGTTTCTTTTTTTTCTATATAAATAAAAAAATGTTTCTATATAAGTAACATACACATGGCGTAGAATTTTGAAATTCGTGCAGAGCCATAAAAATGGCTTTCCCGGCAGTCTAAAGGTTAATTTCTCTTGCGGTGGAAATTTTGCTGATTACTTTAATCACTTGCTTGCATACGTACGTACGTGCACACACACGCATACATAAACACACATACTCGAGCTCGTCGTTTCAGCCGACGACAATCTACTCGCCGGAGATCTATCTTCTTCGCTATCTTCTCCCAGCGACAGAGACGTCGAGCAAGCAGCAAGAGGGCAACCTCGGAAGTAGGACGCGCAAGAAGCGTCGCAGGGTCGTGGAGGCCAAGAGCCCGGATAGCCTCAAGAGCTACGTACAGGAGATCGCCGTGGATAGTCGCGAGAACGAGATAAGAGGTGCGCGGGGTCAATCGTCGCAGAAGAGGAGCGACTCGAAGTCCAGGCCGAGGAATCGGGAAGTGCGGAAGTCCCGCGCGGAACGGCGCAGGCGAAGGAAGAAGGACCGAGGCAGGAAGGAACGCAAGAGGAGTGGCAAGAGCTCGCGACAGGAGGACGACAAGTGGCAGGACGTCGCGCGCCGCGCATCCAAATACAAGAGGAAGACGCACGACGGCCCTGGCAGGCTCGGGAAGCTCGAGACTGCCAGGACCAACGCGCCCGAGCACTCGGTCACCGTCGACGACGGCCTCGCGACGACGACGAGCGCCGCCAGCGTCGGCACGACGATGTCGTCGAGTCTTCAGCACCAGCCGACGCTGGGGGCGGCGAGGAGGCCGGCGAGGACGACGCCTCGCCGTAGGATTTACACCGACACGGTGGAGCGAGAGTTCTCGAGGCACCTGGAGATGGAGATCTCCAGGTCGGCCTTGAAGGACTCCTCGTTCCTGGAGGACGACATCTTCGACCGCTCCCCGAAGAAATCCGCCGGTCAGGCCGACAAGGCCGCGGACGGCAGGCTCGGTTTCGGCAACTCGCGTTACGACGCCGAGAAGATGCTGGGCTACACGAGGACCGAGGAGGACCTGCCGATCTTGGACCTGGAGAACGAAGTGCTCGCGAGGACCCTGAAGGACTACAACGCGTACATGACATCGAGCTTGAAGCTGGTGTCGTTGCCGCGCCACGACGAGCCGTCGATTGGACGCAACGCCGGCTCACATCCCCCGAGAAAGCCGATAATTAATTCGGAGGAGAGCGACGAGGAGCTCGAGGGAACGACCACGGAAGTCACGGGCGTGACGAAAGCGACGCGGGACGACAACACGGGCGGGGACTTATCCTGCATAAACGGGACTTTCCTGCCGGCGCCTCTGTCTCGCCACGCGCTGATCAAATATGTAAAGTAAGTGCTCTTCTATCCTCCATCATCCATAATTCAATACTCAGGATAATTCTGGGAACGGCGATTTTCACGGCGCGCCGGTGCGCGAGCTATGTACAGGCGCGGTGTCCCGTGACGCCTGACATTAATTTTATCAGAGATCGGTTAGCTCGAACAATTCCGAATTGATCCTCCCCCTCTAACTCCGAACATCGGCGAATCGGAACGGACGTGTCCTATCAATTGGAATTTCGATGATAATGAAAGACGATCGACGCGGATGTTCGCCGCGAAATGTAACGAATTATCGACCTCCTCGGCCCAGAGGCGAACTATTCCAAAATTTTCTGAGATCTTCAAATTATCTAGATTTCAGCGTATCCCGCAAGCATTTTGGACATACGACCTCTCGTTTTTGACGCCGGCGGTCGAGAGTTCCGCGGCCAAGGACCTTGATACACGTAACTGCCGTCTTTGTTGCAATGGAAAAAAATTAGGGAAAAATTGCGCGCGCTCGTGGTGCGTGTACATCAGGATTCATAAGTGCCTTTACACTCCCGGTTTCTAGAGAATTGAACTTTTTCGACCTGGCGCATCGTTTCTCAGTAAGCGTGAATCGTGACTGTTAGTTGTCGATTTTTTCAGTAACTAACAATCACGATTCGCGTTTACGGAGAAACGATGCGCCAGATCGAAAAAAAAGCCAATTCTCTAAATACCGGAGGCGTAAAGGTATTTATGAATCCTATTGTAGACATCGAAGATGTAGATTCGCCGCGCGAGGTCCGAGAATAGCGGTAAAATACTTTCTCTCACGGCTCCGTGCCGCCGGGCCGTAATACGTTTCTCCCTCTTTTGTTTTTCTTTATACATTTTCCCGTCCGCGTTGGATTTAACGCTTAATGCTAAGGATCTGCGAAACTGTGTGTGTGTGTGTGTGTGGCTCTATCGTAGAAATAACTTTTTCTTCCGCGCGACGATCATGAAGGTCCTCGACCCCGGGCAACGAGTATTTGGAAGCCGATTACGAGTGTGTGCCAGGTTTCCATATGGTATCCCCTACGAGCCGATTAGTCTGCAGAAGTCGTCAGTGGGTCGGACAGGTGCCAAAGTGCGAGATCAAGCAAAACCCGAGCGGGGCGTGCGCCGAGGCATCCTGCGAACATGTTTGCAACGAAATTAACGGACGTCCCGTCTGCTCCTGCTACAAGGGATTCAGATTGGATGGCCGCAAATGCGTCGGTGAGCACCACGACTTTCAGCCGGTCGGGCGAGTAATGGTTATTATCGCGTATGAAGCTTTCCGCATTTTTACGTCCGTCCGCACTGTCCAGGCGTGAGCCTCGAGTAACGGCGGTGATGAATTTTCACAACTTCTCACTTTTACGTTCCGCTTAAGCCTGCCCAATTCTTTCATTTGCAGTTAGCGGAAAACCCAAGCGCGCTCCTCTCGCAGACAATATTTCGTGGGACTTTTGCAAGTTTGTGCACGCACATATGATATATATATATATATATATATATATATATATATATATATATACAGGGTGTTCGGAAAGTACCGGGACGCCCGAATATCAGGAAAAATATAAGTTTTACAAAAAAATGTTTCAAACAAAAGTTGTGGCGTTTAAAAAGATGTATTTACTGATCACATCAGTTTGACCTTGGGTTGCGTAGCGAAGGTCAGGTCAAGGTCACATTAATTTTTTTAAATGGAACACCCCATTTTTCATTGCATATTCTTATAGCACATCTCGAGAGCT